TAGAGGGAGAGAGAGAGAGAGAGAGAGAGACAGAATGATTGGAATGAGGCAGAGCCACTTAATGAATAGCTGAAGTGGATGGAGCACAGCTATGATTATGATTGTAATAGATCAGTTGGGAGCACAACAGTGAGCCATAATTACCGAGGAAGTCGTCTCTGGTTATCATTATTATTATCAGCAAATATATGGCCAAGATGAATACGAAGTGCAAAATGATGTCATGTGACAGAGCCAAGGAAAGTCTTTCGGTATAGAAAGAATTAATAATAAATTCAAGTCAAAAAATTCATATCTAAACAAACACACTATGGGGAGCAAGACTTTGGGATACATATAGCAAGTCTAGCACTTATTTTCTTTCAACTAATATAAACCCCACTCTTAATATTTTTCCTTCTTTAAGCTCATATAAACATTTCAAAAACTTCTTCAATCTTCCGGTGCTCATAATCTATGAAATTTACGTGCTTTCAATTTTTGTACATTTTTAAATTAACATTTTCACGACTTTTCATGTTAGCAGTCGCACGTTTTTTGTGTTTCTCCAATCTGTAGCTCTTTTACAATATTTTATCTGTCATTTTACTTAATTTTTTATAACATTAGCGTCTATGAGTTAATGTTTGTATATTTATAGATCGTATCTCAGCACACTTGACATTTCCACATATTTCAATTGGAATTTACGGCAGTTCGTTTATGTAGTTTGAGAAGTCTTTCGGACTGTCTTATCAGCAGGGAGAGCTATTTATCATGGCTATATGACGGATCTGATATGCTGCTGAAATGAAATGGGTTCAATAAACACATTTCCAATAAATATTGAAGATCTTGAGAGTGTGATATCAACCCAACATGAAATATCTATAGACTAAGGCCTTCAATTGTAATATATTGTAAACAAAAAATTGTTTTTCATATATATGTGTTTATAGGAAATATTTGCTGTTTCCTAAACATTGGGAACTGATAACGATAACATATCAAAGCGTTCGCTTGGGAAATCGGTTTTGTAAGTTTTGTCGCCTGTTTAGTATTTGCCAATTCTATTTTAGAGATCGCTATCACTGCCGCATATGGCAAGGGCCAGGGCCAGGGCCTATTACAGCGTCGAGACTAACTGCAAGACAATTTTGGTCAACAGCTGAAGATGAGCCAAGTTTTGAGGAGGCAGCGACCTCCACATGAGATCTCTGATCTGAGCATACGAGCATTTTGTGTTTCGCATTTCGAATTTCGTATTACGAATTTCGACTGCTTTTGGTGATTTCATCTTTCGTCGACATTTTGGTATGCGTTCCAAAACGGATTTCAAATCGTGTAAGGCCAGTGACCAATGGGGGGTTAGGGGGCAGTGAAAGCTATCAAAGTAACAAGCAGCAACAGCAATACAAGCTAACTTTGATGCCAACGCATGGAAAATGGGTTGGAAAACGAAAACGTCGACGAATATATATGTATGTACATATATATATGAATAGATAGAGATTGGTTTTGCCTCGCCGATAAGGTCAACTCAATTAACGGCGCGTTAAACAAATGTATTTTCTCGGATCTCACACGATCCGTCAGCTTGAGCTGATAAATGGTCGAAAGCGTAGAAAAGATACACAAAACAGAAGTAGGGACTAGAGTGGGACAGTGAGAGAGATAATGGGAGCGAGACCGAGAGCGTGGCCTAGCGAAGATCCGAAAAATGTCCACACCGGCTGTACGCGTCGGCAGCAGATGCGTTTGCGCTTGCGATCCAGGCCGATAAGCAGGCTGGAAAACAGTCGGGGGCCAATCAATAAATATGAAAAGTGCATACATACATGCACACACGCACGCGCGAGCACACATGCATGACACTCTTCAATATGCACATGTGTATTAAGTCCCTCTCTCTCTCTCTCTCTCTCTGTGTGAGTTTGCATTTCAAAACACATTTCCAGCAAATGTTTGATTATGTGTTGTCGTTCTATCACAGTTTTCCGTGCATTTGTGTGTGTGTGACTTTATCGAGAATCGCTCAGCTGAGTCGTAGTTACAAAACCGTTTTCTCGTCTTATCAAATTTCAAATAAAATGCAACAACGCTTGACTGCTGTGCACGTCCCTCCATCTCCCTCTCACTCTCCCACGCTCACACTCTTGCACTCTGCGTCAGTCACTCGATCTGCTCCTTGCACTCTTGCACTCTCGCACTCTGGCTGCCTCTCTGCTCTCTCACCCAACAGCAACTGCTAAACATGCACAAAAAATGCCAACAACAATTTAGAGTTTTTAAATAAAGCGGCCCGTTTGTTTGCCGTTTACTGTTCGCCCGCTCTCTTACTGGTTTCCTACTGCTCTCTCCCTCTCTGTGTGTGTGTAGCAGCACTCTCTTTTCATTCTGCTGCGCTCTCAGCTCACTCAATGTTCCAACTGCTGGCTAGTTCAGCACCTAAACTGGTTTTCGGTGCGGGTGTCAGTGTGCGTATATGTGAATCATAATAAAAAGCAGCAAAAAAACTAAGCACAAAAGAAACAACACAAACAGCGGCGACGCGCAATGAAATTGAAATTGTAGCCAAAAACTGGGAGAAAAAAATTATTAAGCAGGGAACGTTAAACGAAAGACGGAACAATAGAGTATTTGTGTGTTGAATGAACTAAATACATACATAAATAAGTACATGTTGCAGCTTGTTGTTAGTATGCCACGCGTGCGTGTGTGTGTGTGTGTGTGTGTATGTACAGAACATTAGCATAATCGAAGCAATACTCGAATATTTCTGGCTTTCAATTTGCAAATATTTGATTAATTTGCCATGCTAATTTCATTCGTATATAGAATGATATGACAGTCTAAAATAAAATTTCGAGTCTATATATGTACAGTGGTCCGTAACTTATTAGAACCATTCTATATTCATCAAATATAAATTAAAAGAGATAAAAATAAAATGCAAATGCAGATGCTAAGTTGTTTACTAACATTCCCATCTATTCCCAAAACTAACACATTCTAGTTTTGATCTTACGTGTATGTTATTAAATAAATATTAGCTCATTCATTTTTATAAATTATATTTAAACCACTTTATAAAAATTTAACAACTTAAAAATCAACAAATATCAATTGCAAGCAGCGAATCACCGTATTTATTTATCGATCATTTATCATGGTCAATGTACGTACATATGTATGTATGTAGAGTTATCAATATTCTTGATCAAACTGTTTTAAGCATATTCTAAAAGTAGAAAACTTTTGCTACGTGAGCGAAATATTTTTCTATTTTTGGTACAAGCATATATGTATGCATATAGTACATACTTCCTTCCACACACAAACATATAAATTCACACGATTGTATAACAATTTTAAGGTAAATGAACATAATCAACATAATAGATATGAAATTTGTTCATAGTAAAGCGATTATGTCGATTATATGTACATATGTACATATGTGTATGTTTATAGGGGAAGAACAATTGTAACTTGTACCACAATAAAAAATAAAAAAGGGTTTATAAATTGTATTATATTCATATATTTTTTAGTGCTGTCAGGCTGTTGACGCCCATTGTGCGACGCTTCGGTGCCCTCTCAGGGCCAACGCCATCAAAATGGGCAACAATTGAGCCAAACAATTGGACTACTGCCATTACTACTACTACTACTACTACACACACATACACACATTCTCAAAAGAAACGACGCACGATCGAACATTGAATACAAAAGCAACAACAACAACAACAACAACTCGAATTGAGAGAAAACACTCGCATGGTGTAAATAAATAAAAAAAATTAATAGTAGCAAGGCAACGCCAAAGAACAGGAAGGCTTAAAAAAGAGTAAGTGTCGTGGGGGGGAGGGGGGCATTGCTGGCTGGCACACAGCAAAAAGTGTGAAGTACATCGATAGTCGAACGAACACACACATACACACACACGCACACACTGTGAATTGGAAGTCTGGAAGGGAGGCATGGAAATGCTATTGGATAATGCCATGGGCGGGGGGTTGGAGGGGGTAAAGAATCGAAATCGTGTTCTCTTATCTTATCATTGCTTTGTTTCTTTTCTTTTCGCAGAAAAGCAATGGCGATCAATGCGCACGATCGCAAGGGAACGAAGCAAGAAACGGACTGACTGAGCAGACGGACGACCCTGGCCGTGAGGCGAATATCAACCACTAAAAGTATTAGGGGGAAACAGTTACAAGCAGGGGGGCGGGGTCGGTAGAGGTAGGCAGGGGTATCGATTGATCAAGGGTTCGTCGTAATATTAACAGTAACCGGAAGTGAGAAACTAACGAGCCGTGCCGAACGTGTTTAAGTGCAGCACAAAGAGAGACAAASAGAGAGAGAGAGAGAGAGAGAGAGAGAGAGAGAGAGAGAGAGAGAGAGGGAGGGAGAGAGAAATAGAGGTAGTAGAGTATTCCATCTGGAAGAGTTCCAATTTCTACTGTACTTCTCTCAGAAATATACGCATGTATACGTTAATAGGGACTGCTGTGCTGTTACTATATCCTTTACAGGGTATCAGCTCTGTCGACCTACCGGAATGATGTCCCGCATCATCGTCTGCCGCTCCTGCTGCTGCGTTGCCCTGCTGCTCCGACACCGACTGGGAGGCATCAGTGGCCCCAGTCGAAGCGTTGGCCGTCGAGTGCGGGTGGAGATCCTTCAGCATGAAGCGCTCGCAGATGAGCTGTTCGCAGTGGTCCCTCTGGAAGTAGTCGCCCAGCTCGTCCAGGCTCAGCGGGCAGATGTCGTAGTCCATGTAGAAGTTCCAGCACCAGCGGTCCGTGACGCTGGCGCAGCTGCTTGAAGCCGACAGCGCTGTGCCGGACGACATGCCGTAATGCTGCTGCTGCACTGACTGATGCGTCGCTGTTGACGTTGCGCCGGCGCCGGCGCCTGCTCCGCCGCTGCCGATTGTCTTCAGCAGCGAATTGCTGCGCGACAATTTCGTGGAGTGGGCGCGGCGAATGAAGCTCAGCGACTTCTTTGGCGGCGAGGTGATGGGCGTGGGCGGAGGCGTGGCGTCCGCTGACAGCTTTGGCGTCGACTTTAAGAGGAACAGATTCTTGGGCGGAAAACTGTGCGTTAGAATGGACGCGGCTGAGGCGCTGCTCTGCAGCTTATAGGGCGAGGCTGTTGAACTAGAAACGGAACCGGAACCACAGCCGGAACCAGCGCAGTTGCTGCTGCTGCCGCCAAACAGCTGACGTTGCGGCAGTGCCTGATGTTGMTGCTGCTGTTTGTTATTGTTATTATTATTATTATTATTGTTGTTGTTGTTGTTGTAATAGTGCGCCGTGTCGTCCAGCGCGGCCGCCTCGCGCAGTGCAACTGACGGCGATAGGTTCTGCGGCAGCGTTTTTGCCTTAGCGCGCAGTGTGATCAACGTTGTTGTTGTTTTCGCAGTTGTGGTTCCAGCTGCCGCTGCCCCTGCCCCTGACGCTGACGCTGACGCCGATGATGACGTCGTCGTTGCCAGACCGCGCTCCACACTGGGCAGCGGCACAGCCAAAATGTTTGTGCGCGAACGCGACTTCATTAGCTTGATGGGCGTTGAGGTGTTTGTCTGCATACGGCTTATCTCTGAGTCATCGTCGTCGACAGCAGCGGCTCCGGTGGCGACGTCCACGGCCGCTGACGATTGACGCGAGTGTGCGGGTGAGAGCGAGAGCGCCTGCTGCTTGGGCGGCATTGCCATCACAATGTCGTTATCTTCATTGAAATGAGTGCGTGGCGCACACCTGGCGCCATCTGGCGGCATATTAGCTAAAGGCTCAACGCCGCCGCTGCTATCGTCAGCGCCGCTGCCGCTGCCGCTGCCATTAAGACTGATCACATTCAGAACAATGCCATAGCGCTTAAGCTTGGCGTTCGACGCTGGCGTCGCTGTTGACGGTGCAGCTGATGCTGTTGCAGCTGCAGACTTTACCAATTGCTGGCGCTGGCGTTGCTGTAACTGCGGCTGCTGCTCGTCATCAGAGTCAGAATACTGCGCAGCGACGTCACTGCCGCTAATGCTCCAATTGAAGCCGCAAGGCGGTGACATTTTGCTGCCGCCGCCGCTGCTGCTGCTGCTSCCGTTAGATTTGCGCTCAGCTGCCTTAGGAGCGTTGCCCTTTTTCCAGCTGTTGCTGCTCAGACTTGAGCTGCTGCCGCCGTGCGGCGCTAGATGGCGCTGTTGCTGTTGCTGTGGCTGGACTTCAGCGCTGTCGTCGTCCTCGATTACCAACGGAACGTAGAAGGTGGAGCGTCGACGCTGTGTCTTTTCCTCCTGTGTTGGCGTCGAAGCTGCGACGCTGTCGTTGCTTTCCGCGCTGYTTCTAGCTGTTGTTGTTGTCGTCGATGTGCTGCTGGCGTCGCTATGCGCCTGCAACATTTTGCGCGTTTATTTTAATTGTTATTCCTGCTGCTGATGCGCCTAGGCGCCGAGTTCATCATTGCTCTCTCTCTCGGTCTCTCTCTCTTACATACACAGACACACACAGGCGCACAGGCACGCATGCAAGGAAGAGAGCACAGTGTGCAGGTATTTCTATATGAATGTGTGTGTGAATGCCTTTAGCTCAATGTTTGCCAGAGAGTTTCTTCTTTTTTTCTCCTTCTAACTGTGTGTTTGTCTGTTTGTTGTGGCTTCTTAGGCTACTGCACTGCTGCTGCAATTTGCTGACGAGCCGTTTTTTCTTCTCTTTTTGTTTTTGCTGCTTTTCTTTATGCTTTTTGCTCGATTTTGTTTTTATTGTTGTCGCTGGTGTCGCTTGGTTTATAAAAATTATGCGCTCAAGTGCATTTCCGCGTTTGCGAGCGAACGTTTTATTTTATTTTTTCTGCTTTCTTACAGTTTTTTCACGCGTCGTTGTCGCCAGTTGTTGTCGTTGTTATAGTTGCAGTAGTTGTTTGCTGTTATTTTATCGCGATTTGCATCACATTCGCTGCGTTTCGTTGCATGCAACGCAGCTCATAGAGACTTTGTTGTGCGTCGGAATATGTGAGCGTGTTGTACTATACATACGCATACACGCACACACGCACTTAACGAGTTTTTTTTTTTAATTTTCAAACGAATTTCATGAAAACAAAAGATCCATCAACAAATACATGAATTGCAAGAAGCTCAATTATTATCACGCTAAAAAAAAAAGGAATTTACGCACGCACAGAGTGAAATTAGCGGAAAAGTGCTAAAGCAACGCGACACACACGGAATGATACATTGTAAGTTGGAAATTAAACCGCAAACGCAACACACACACACACAAAACAACAAAAAAAAACTCAAAACAGAAAACGCATTGGCAGGCGTCGTCGTCGTCGTCTTCCCGCTTCGCTACCACTCGATGACGCGCCTTTCTCACAACTGACGCTGCCGCCGACGCAGCCGTTGCTACAGCAGCGGCATGACCACGATAAAAGTGTGAGAGAAGCAGAGTAAGAGAGCGAGAGAACGATCCGGGCTAACAGTGATCACTTAAAAGCAGGGATGGAACGCAACAAAACAGCCAACCAATTGGGAGTTGTTTATGTTTACGTTAATTTTAAATTAACATTGCATTTTATTGCTACCATATAAAAAAGTGTTTATAATTACGGTAAACATTGAATATATATGAGATCAACAATAAAAATAATTGAAAATAATTGTTATTGATCTCTTAGTAGAGATAAACAGTATAGTGAGTTGCAACTTCATAATTTGCGAGTTGCCCAGCCCTGTCTGATTCAAGTAAGAGAGTGCGCAGTGTAGCCAAGCGACGCTGACAAACACAAACAGTGCTGCCCATGCGCGTTGACAAAGCCACCGAATTCTCGACACAAAGCAGCAGTGCGAATGAGATAGCGCGCTGAAGTGCAAGGCGTATGAGAGAGCAAGGCACGACTCAGTCATGCAAACACACAAATGCACTGCAAATATATGTTTGCTCTTAAATAACAACAATTGCATTATGTATAAAAATACGAGTCTGCAAGTGTTCGATTTTTATACAATAGATGAAGTTATGTATGCAGCTTAGATAGCCGTTTTATAAAATTAATATTTTTACCTTTACTACCAGAACTCACACAGCTAATCGATTTTAAAAATTCGTCCATAATAATTGATAATACAACACACAAGAAGTGTGACAAGCACCTCCCGCAGATTGGGTTCTATTGTAATGACAAGTTTCTCGTGTATTTCGATCGTATCTCTACATTTTGCATGCATGTTTGTACGTGTCCGTGACAAGTCAAATATAGAATAGGCAAAGACATGCACAAACATGTTTTCTGATGATAGGCATGTACCAAATGGTATCTGCATACCTGCATGCCTTATAGCAGCATACATATTTATGTATACACACACATACACATATTTATTTATGCATGTATGTGCAAACATACATATGTATGTATGTATCAAGGATACAAAAGCAATATGCCCGATTGTCTTAGGCGCAGCGCAGCGTATTGTAAGAAACGGAATTGAAAGCAAAACAACAGCAGCAGCAACAACAACAGCGGTAGGGAGTACAAGTGGACGAAGAATGTAAGGGGAGAAGAAACAGCGAAACGAGACGCAGGCATAAGCCATAAGGCAAAAGTGCGCGAGCGGCAATGTGGCTCGTAATTGAACGTAATTGAGCGCAGGTACACACACATACACACGCACACGCTCTTATCCAATATATTTGTGTGTGTGTGTGTGTTGGGAACATACTTGGGCACATAGACGGCGCATAATAAGCAAATTAGAGGCGTACATTTCCAAACCCACCCCATGCCTCTCTCACTACTTCCCTCTCACTCCCACTCAAGCAGCAGCCGCAGCAGTTGGCTGCTTAACGGAAGTGCGTGACTTTTGTATCTTACGTGTATGCGACACGTTCGGCCCTAGTCGTTGCCTATATCCTCGGCACCTTTAGCGGAACTGTGCGACTTATTTATGAAGCTTGGAATTAGCCATTTCCATTTCTATTTTCATTCCCATTTCCATTCCCTTTTTCAGTTGAGTTTGTGTTACACTTGCGTATGTCAACAGCACAACGAACTGTTAATGCGGGTCCAACTAATATTACAGTTTATTTTCTCTGCCCCTTCCACTAGTCTCACCTCACAGCCAGCCACAAAGTATGCAATGCAAAACAGTTACGCAAGCGCTTCAAAGTATGCAGAGACAGCTAGCGAGTCGTGCCTAGAGATGGGCGCGTGACGAACATACATGTATATTTATGGTAATTACAGCACGATTGCGAATTATGTTCTGGGCATTAAATTAAATAGTCTTTGATACACATCTTTTAATATGACGCTTCTAAAGCTATCGATGCTATCGATAGCCCTAAGTTGTGACATTGTTATATCGACTTTATATATCTTCCCATTGGAGATCCCAAAACAAATATAGGTTTACCTTCATTTAATGACGTATCGTTTAGTGCCGTATCGAAGTGTATGCGGGGCAATGTCTTCGACTTGTACTCACCTGCAACAAAGAAAGAAAGAGAGAGAGAGAGAGAATGAAGGTTAAAAACATTGTCGAGAACATTATCAATATAATGTATGCCTAGATAAGGGGTCTTTAGTTAACGGTAATTGTGAATTGTGAGCCGTTGCGATAGTCAGCCACAAACCGACCCATTTACATGGTCTGACCTTTCGCTTTGGCTCCAATTTGCGGGGCAGTGTCAACTTGTTGTGAATTCATTTCAATTAATATGCAAAATATGAATAGCCAGCGAGGCGACAACAGCAGCAACAGCAGCGGCAACAACAACAACAAAATGCGCCAATTCAGCGTCAAGCACAATTTATGTGCATACACAAATGTGTCGTCAAATGACAAAGACGGCTCGCACAGTTACAGATACAGCCAGAGATACAGCTACAGCTACAGATACTTTTACACAAAAGATACGCGCACTCAGTAGCAGCAGCTGTCAAAGCTGTCAGGGGCCAAAGGGTGCCAGGGGTGCGGCACGTGTGTGAATGCGCATTGGCATGGCCTTCGCTTAGAAAGTCGTCGGCTCCACGACAATCCCTTCTAGACCCCCTCCCCACACCTTTCGCGCCATACTTCCATTGAATCTGCTTTCCATCCCATCGAGAGCAGGCTCTGACGTAGTGATCAAACATCAGAGAAAGCATTTTATTTGCTCGACTAACCGTTGCCCTGTACTCACTGTTAACCTCATGTATGAGATCAAAGAGCAAACTGGAAACGGTAACTTTTTAACACTCCAGTGAATTGCTGCATATCTTGATCTCATTCCATTCATATTTCTCTAGAGATATGACATTTTTAGCATCAACGTAAATAGTAGAGCCTAGTAAATAATGGAAAAATATAATATAATCCTAGATAATTAAATAAACAAAATGAATTTTCCACACAAGTATAGATCTATGATTAATGCACACAATTTATAGGATATTTGGCTAATCATCAACATGTGTTGTCGCGCCCCAAGGAAGTGCCGGCTGTAAACTGCGCATAAAAGGAGAGTTCAGGCAGCTCAGCTCTAAAGCTGAGAATCATTCAATGATTCAACCAATTCTCTATATTCATTGACTGCATTCAGTTCTTAAGAATATTACAGGCTGCTACCGCTCATTCCACCCCATTCCACCATCTCTCTGTTTCCCTCTCCCTAATATGTGTGATAAAATTTCTTCACTTGTCTTGAATTCCAATTCAATGGAAACGCGTCTCATTCCATTTCATATCATTCCGTATCGTTTCAGTTCCTTTGTCTAATTGCTGTTTGAAGTTCATTCGGCTCTGCTAGCGGATCTGGCCCGTACAGGTTGCCCATAGTAGAACGGATTATGTGTGCGATAGTTCTTTGGCTCGAATGTTGCATGGTCAGCGTTACGGCAGTTACCGTTAACCAACATCGATTAACGCTAGAGCAGCAGAGTGCAGTAGCAGCAGCAGCAGCAGCAGCAGCAGCAGCAGCAGCAGCAGCAGCAGCAGCAGCAGCAGCAGCAGCAGCAGCAGCAAGAGCTCATTTCGCTGTCATTTCGTTCCCTTTTTTGCTGCCAATTGGCGTTTATAATTCGCACGTTTTCTCACTCGCGCATAAACTGTAAATTCTGCGGAGCCGCACACTAATGACATCAAAGCAAATGCCCAGCCCCGTCCCATCCCGCCCCGTCCACAGCTCAGTTTCAGTAGCCGATGATGTCATTGGCATCATGGAGTGCGTATCATCAAATATGATACATTAACGAACCCACTTTGTCAAGCTATATAGTTCACATTCCCATTCGCATTCTCATTCTAATTCTAATTCCCATTCTCATTCTCATTCTAATTACCATTCTGCTTCTCATTCCCATTTGTTTCTTTTTTATGATCAATTTCGTTCCGGAAAACTGTACGCATAGTGGCTATATAAAAACATCTATATATATTTAGATATAGTGTCTATGAATCAATGAGAGTGCGTCTATCTATACTTTACCAGTCTAAACTGAGCTACATGTGAAAATATACAACCGGCATATATGTATGTACTAATATCATTATATATGTATCAGTACATTCCATGTATATGCATTATATACACGTATATCATATATATATCATACGTATATCATATATCGTATTGTGCATCATAAATCTTAAATTGTATATCGGACAATACATA